GATTTGTAGGGGCTTTAAACATGAAATTGGTTGCGTAAACGACATGGGCAATGCATATTTTACGGAAATTAGTCCAAATTACCTCAAAAAATCGAAGCCGAATGGTTCTTCGAACTTGAATTCGAGATTTCGAAATTTTTTATTTTTTTTTTGCTATTTGCGCTTTTTTGGTTTTGGTATGTTTAGAGAGAGAGAGAGATTTTTTTATGAACCGCGAATAGCATTTCCGATTATAAATTAACCCCTGTAACAACTAGTCTGAATGCTTAAATGTTCGCCGAATGAGATATCACACAATTCCCTATCTTGTGTTGTCTTCTCCAAGTATGTTTTCTTCATGTTACTTATACAAGTTAAATATATATACTCATGTAATTGGAAAACGAACACATGAAGAAATAAATATTTAATAAAAAATGAAGGGAATATAAATAGGAAAAAATACAAATACCATACAGTTAAAGAGGAATAATTTTATGTTCAAAAGCTCAGTCTATACAATGCATAGACACTTATAGACAATCACACATTCAGGAGAGTTTAAAAAAAGATGTAGACACCAATAGAATGCATAGAAAATAAAACATGGTACTTGTGTTTTTAACAAATGGTGTAGACATCCACATATGCTACATGCTATGAGGACCCCGAAATGTTTAGAGTTGTGTATAGTATAACTAGTACAAAATTTGTTCATATCCATTTTAGTATTGACACCACCAGTATCATAGGCATCCATAGGCAGTGGCGTATCTAGTGTGGTCCAAGGGTGTTCTACTGCACACCCTTGATTTAAAAAAAACAAATTATTTCCTATATTTTTTCGAATATATAACTCCAAATGTAAAACCTGCCCAATGCAATGCTGTAGCTGAACTGGTTAAGTGCTCCATAGAATTTTGCAGAGGTACAGGATTCGAGACCTTACTTAGAGTCTGAACCTCTGTATTATTTTTTCTTTTTTATTCATAATTTTCCATTACATACAACATTTCAATTCTTTTAAAAAATGTGGGTATTTTTTAATATTTAAAAAAATCTCCTAATATAACATATATTTTGCTATTTGTAACTTTTAATTTATTTACCATTTATTTAACATTAAATATAATATAAATTATTCCAAAATTCTAAATATTATATATATATATATATATATATATATATTATTTCAATTTTTTTTCTAAATTTACAACTATGTGGGTTTTTTTTTTTCTTTTTGAAAATTCAAAATCTGTTAATGAAATGTACATTTTGTCACTTGCAACTTTAATATGTTTACCACTCCTTTAATATTTTCACCAATTTTATGTCTAAATGTTTCCTAAATTGCCCAAAAATGGTAAAATAATCCCTTTAAATTTAAAAATTTTAAATATTTTTTATTATTTAATGTGTACAATATTAAAAAAAAAAATCAGGGCCGCTGCCCCCGAACCCCCATAAACTATTAGCCAACCATTATACTTTTTACTATATTTAATTTCGAACACCCTTGGCAAAAATTCTGGATTTGCCACTGTCCATAGGTAGTCAAAACATTTGTTGTTCAATCAACTAATTAATTCACAAACAAGTAACAACACTTATCTGAACACAATGTGCTTATTTTGTGGTTTTACACAATTTACCACACACATGGCACACAAAGTACATTATTTTCTGTAACATCAATAAAATCAGCCCTAATTTTTTGTTCTGCATAAGTCTACAGAAATAATGCATAAACTTTTGTAAAGACCCAAACTATGTTTTACACAATCAAATCAGCCGGAATATATATTCAAACTCAGTTCTTAGAATGTTGTAGACACTAAAAACACTATTTCACATAATCAAACCAACAGCCATTACAACATAAACTACAATAGACTACCATAGAAAAGTAGTGGAAAATTCATAGACTACCATAGAAATATTACAATATAAACTACAATACCAATTACTATGCCACAGCCTACTACATATTACCGTAGACTACCATTTAAATACCCAGCAACATATTCAATATACAATTTTATTCTACCAACTACTTTGTAATCAGCTTAAATAAACAAATCCCAGCAATACATAACAACACCGTACAAAATACCTTACCAGTTCACATAATACCACAGAACTGCAGTGAGATGTTCATAGACTACCATAGAAATTTTAAACATAAACTACCATAACAGTTGCTACACCACAACCTACTGCATATTCCCGTAGACTACCACATAAATACGCCTAAACATATCACTGACTATAACTATAGTAAAAAAATATGCAGAATATACACATAGATAAGTAAATTCCAATTACAGATTCAAACCACCAAACTATTTTTATAGACACCCAATGATTGAACATAATGAAACAAGAAATTACACATATGTACAATCTAACCTAGATCTAGCGCATTTATGTCCTGCTGACCGTTCATCCGCATCTCCGCTGCATAATAGATTGTGTAAAACCCTAATGTTTAAGTTTTCAGAAAAAAAATACAAAAACAAAACTTACTCGATCTGTTGCATGACGTAGACATTCATAGACGTTTGTGGCGACGAGAGGTTGACTTTTGTTGCTGTATACTATGATAGTTATTGCCGCCGATTTGCAGTAGAGAAGGAGAGGAAGACGACCTTAATTTGGGGGAAAAGGGGGGCGGTGGTTTAGATTGTGACACGGTTATTATAGGATTTAGGATAATAGAATCACAGAGATTCTTAAGGGCGGGATTGGTGGGATCTAATTTCAACTTATCAAATAACAAAATACACGGTGTTAATATCACAGTAAGGGTACTATAGGAATAATTTCACAAATGGATGTATTCTAATGTTTTAATAGCCTTCGGTGCATCTAATATGTTTTCCCACTAGGGAGTACGGGAT